AAATAGGGAAAATCTCAAGACATTCCCACTAAAATCAGGAATGAGACAAAGGGCTCCACTTTCTCCATGCTTATGTAATACAGTCTTTAAAGTCTTAGAGCGCTAAGGAAAGAGAAAAAATAAAAGAAACATAGACATATATGAAAGAAAGAAGTCAAACTACGCATATCTGCAGACACTATGATACTGTACATTCAAGACACTAAGACTCTAGAAGAATACTCGGAACTGATAAACACAGTCGACTGAAGATTTCTACAGTGAAAACTTTAAAAGACCAAAGGAAGTAAAGGCATTGGAAGAATTAATCTGCAGAATTAATTAGTAAAAATGGATATAGATTCTTTGCAATCCCCATCAAACTTCAAACTTCACTGTTCAATGTCATTCTTTACAAAAACATAAAAACAACAAAAACTTCCTAAAACTAACACGCAGCAGGCTCTGGATCACACAAAGCCGTCCTGAGCAGAGTGGACAGTGCTGGAGACTGACTTCCAACCTCTTCCAAGCTATAGTTCAGAGCCACGGTAACAAAAGTAGCTCGATACCCACAGGAAAAACATAGTGGGGATGATTTAAGAACCCACATTTAAATGCACAGCTATAGACACCTAATTTAATTTACTTATTTTACCAAGATACCAGATAACATACATTGGAGAACAGACAGCCTCTTCAGAAATTGTGCTAGGAAAACTGGATATTCATCTGTAGAAGACTGATACTTGATTCCCATGTCTAACCTAACACAGCTATCTCCAAATGGATAGAAACTTGAATATGAGACCTGAAACTCTGATGTGTTAAAGGACAGTAGGGGAAGGCTTTCAAGATAGAGACACAGGCAGGGACTTTAACAGAAGGTCTCTAGCTCAGGAACAAGTTCCAAGAACTGGCAAATGAGATGACATGAAATTAAAAGTACAGCTGGGCTGGAGAGTTGATTGAGAGGGTTAGAGTCTTCTAATTCCCAGGGCTGAAGTCTAGTACCCACATGGTGGCCCACAACCATCTGTTGCTCCAGTTTCAACTGATCTGACCCTCTCTTCTGACCTCTGTGGGCACCAGGCACACATGTGTGCATATACACATACATGTAGTCAAAACACTAATACATATAAAATAAAATAAAGCTAAAAGCATTTAAAAGCACAGCAAAGGAAAAGATTGGCAGAGAGAAGTGATAGCCCATAGAATGGGAGAGAATCTTTGTTACTTATACATCTGCCAGAGGATTAATATCCAGACTATATAAAGAACTTAAAAAAACCCACTAAATTCCAAAGAAGTGACAACCTAGCCAATACATGGAGAAATAAAATAACCATTTCTTAAAAGATAAGGTAAAAAATGGCCCAAGAATATGGGAAATGTTCAGCATTCTTGGCCATCAGGTAAATGACATCAAAACTACACTGAGACTCCCTATTATTCTGGTCCAAATGACTGTAACAAAGAAAATATGGCTACAAAAGATGGTGAGAGTGTGGGAAAGGGGAACCTTTAGACACTACTGGTGGGATGTAAACTGTCCAGCCACTGTGAAAGTCGGTACAGGATTCTCCAAAAAATAAAAAAATAGCATGGCCCAGGCACTGCTCCTCCTGGATACAATCATCAAGGATTCTAAGTCCACACCCATGCTCACTGCAGTACTGTGCGCAGGAGCCCCATGATGATACCAGCCTCGTGCCTGTCCACATGAACGGAGGAAGGAATATAGCATACACACACAATGGAGTTCTATTGAGTCACAAAGGAAAGGAATATATGTCATCTTTTTTTCTAGAAAATAGATGAAAGAAGAAATCATCATACTAAGAAAATAAGCCAAACTCCAAACCACTAAAAGTCACATTTCCCTTCTTTAGAGATCCTAGGTTTTTATACACAAACATTATGAGTATATAGGTGTAGGAGGAAGAGTCTGGGAGACAGGAGACCAACAAAGGGGTCCAGGGAGAAGGAGAAGAGAGGAAAAATGGTAAAAACCCATGGTGTACTTGAAAGAAATTGGCCTTACAAAACCCAATCCTATATGCCCTGAAAATATGCAAATAAAGAATTAAACACATTTTTGCATCCATTCATTTATTTTGTATCTTTGTGCTTGAATGTGGGCAAGCGCCTGCCATGGCATCCCTGTGGAGGTCAGAGACAACCTGTGGGAGCGGGCTCTCTCTACTGTGTGTGCTCGGGGATAATATCAAGGTCAGCAGGCTTGGTGACAAGCACATTTACCTGCTGAGCCACCTCTCTGCCCTTGATGCCAATAGAAAAATTTTCACTGGGAAGAAAGGAAGAAAGAAATTTTGAAGGGGAAAAAAAATGAAGGTTCCTCACAGGAGATTTTTGTTGTTTTGAGATTTCTCATCGTCAGATTTATGACTTGATGTATTTGGATTTTTTTTTACATACCAGAATATCTTCAAAGGAGATGCACATTCATTATTCAGTTTAAGATTCTTTTAAAATGTGGGGCTTTTGCTTTGCACAGATTCAGTAATATTCATAATTGAACATAAAAGCACAAATTGTATGGTCACATACGTGGGTTTCCAAGTATGGTCTCTCCCTTCCTTTCTGTTTGGCTACGTCTTTTTCTCCCTGGTTCCTACTTCAGCACCCAGACCTTACCTTAGATAACCCTCATGACAGCCGAGGGTGCAGCCTGCCAAACTTCCTCCCTTCCACCCCTTCTGACAGACCCACGTACACACAGACATATGGGGACGTCAGTGTTCTCTTTTTTGCACGGCATCGCACAAAACGTGTTTTCCTGCATCTTGGTCTCCCCCCTTGATAATACTTCCTGGGAGTTGATCCAAGTCATCTGGTACACATTTAGATCATTATTTTAAATGGCTTAAAAAAATTCCCCGGTACAGATACAAGGACATGTTTCCTAAGAAACTAGAAACATTGCCCAAGATGTGGAACTCAAAGCCAGTGGGGTCGAGGCTCTAGTTGGATGTGGGGGAGGGGCCTGTAAGAATGAAGGTGAAAACAGTGAGCAAAAAGGAAATGAACTGGCTTAAAACTCAGGTAAAGCATAGTCACCCTTCTGTGGACACTGCACCCATAGGAACCAGAAAATATTGCGAAGAATGAGGTACCCAAAATGCTCCTTCCTGATGGCTGTCTCTGATGGGCAGGACCTAGGGACAGGGTGCTGGGACCCACTCTTTGGTCTTGTTTGAATTTTATGATTATCTATTGGTTACACTATTCAGATAAAACTATTCAGTATAGGATTTCGGTTTTAAAAATGGATAAAAATCTCTCTGTGTATCCTTTCACTAGAACCTTCAGGATATTGATGATGAACAAGAATGCCAAGGGCTGGGCATGCAGTTCAGTGATGGAATGCTTGCTATGTAGCATGTGCATGGTTCTAGGTTCTATCCGCAGCAGAAAAAGCACACACACACACACACACACACACACACACACACACACACAGAGAGAGAGAGAGAGAGAGAGAGAGAGAGAGAGAGAGAGAGGGAGAGAGAGAGATTAAATAAGATTATCCTATACAGAGGGACAATGTACAATGTCCCTTAGACCCCCAATCAATACAAGTTATGGCCATTGCTCTTCTTCACTCACTGAACAATATGGTAAGATCCTGTTACTGAAGACACTACTCACTTGAGTCACAGGATACCTGGCTGTTGCTGTATTGGCAGTGACCTCCTTCCTAGGGACAGGAGGGGCTTCACTGTGTGGAAAGAGCAGGGACAGTTCTAGGAAGCAACATGGTGGGAGAAAGGCCAGAAGTGGCCCTGGGTGAGGTGGCCTACAAGCAATCAGCGGATGCTAGTCGCATGGTCCCCATGTGGCTCTGCCTTACCCTACCAGGTAAACCTTGGTGTTGGCTTTCCCTACTAGGCGTCCTTCTCTTCTTCTCAGCATCTCCCAGGCCTTCCAGTGCCATAGAGAAGTGGTCTCAATCTTCTTAATGCCGTGACCCTTTATGTGTTCCCCATGTTGTGGTGACCCCCAACCATAACATTACTTTTGTTGCTACTTCATAACTGTAACTTTGCTACTGTTATGAATCAAAGTGTAAATATCTGTGTTTTCCAACAGCGTTAGGCGACCCCTATGAAAGGACGGCTCAACCCCAAAGGGGTCAAGCCCCACAGGTTGAGAACCACAGCCTTAGGGTCTTTTCTGGTCTGTTGTAACAGTACCAAGTGGTTTTAACTATACCAATTGACAGTTGTGGCTGTGTTGCTTAGGTTACTAAGGCGCTCTTACTCTCTCAGAAATGGCCAAGTCTCCAGGAGACCCTAATGGCAGAAATGCAAAGCCATCAGCACCTAGAGAGCAGGTGTAGTATTGAATGCCTGGGTGGCCTGTTCTTGCCCATACAAGTCATCCTCATTGAGAGCTCCTAAGCCACCAGCATATAAGCATCATCTCTGTGTCATTATAGAAGGAAGGAAGGAAAGAAGGAAGGAAGGAAGGTGACAAGAAAATTCTCTGAGAGCTGCTGCTGTGTGTCTTTCTTGTTGTTCTTGTAAGGAAAGCTTCCTGGCTTGAAAGGCAGGAGACACCCAAGGTCACATGATCTAGTCTCCTGTCTCTGGCGGTAGATACATACATAGTTCCGGTACCTCCAGCACAGGGGTTCTCAACCCTTTGGGGTTGAATGACACCTTCACAGGGGTCACCTAACACCATCAGAAAACACAGATATTTACATTATGATTCATAACAGTAGCAAAATTATAGTTATGAAGTAGCAACGAAAATAAATTTATGATTGGGATCACCACACCATTAGGAACTGTATTAAAGAGGGGCAGCACTAGGAAGGTTGGGAACCACTGCCCTCGCACACAACAGCTTCTTCTTCTGTCCTGCCTTACAGGTTTATATCCATGAACCAGGTAACCTTGGTCTCGAAGGACACACCTTCCCACACATTGCCCTCTTGCCCATGCGTGGTTGAGGTGTCCACTGCACCCCAGGCTCAGTCCTGTACATACACATTTCCATATTCCATCTCAGTGATGGTGATGGTCTTGACGTGCCAGGCAAGTTCTCTCTTGGGGATGAATCGGTCCTCCCTGGCCAGGTGGCCCACGCAGAGGGAGGCGATGTCTCCCAAGAAGATGCTGTCAAACTCAAATGTGTCCGTGCTCCCCCTGCAGACAACCAAGATGTCATCAGTGAGCTGCCCAGGCCTAATGAGGCAGGCAAACAGGGAAAACCTACTGTGTTCTGGGATGGCATGGAAGGAGCGTGCAATGCAGTAGCCAGCCTGGCATTCTCTGAGGGATTTGGGCTAGTTTTAAATCAAGACAGAGACAATGAAAAAGTCCCTCCAGCTGCTGGGTTTCAGCATGTAAATGGTAATCACTAAGCAGGCTGGAACCTGGAGGAGGCTGAGGAGCTGGCCGGGTGTGGAGCTGCAGAGGAAGAAGGAGGAACCCTCTACTAAGGGCCAATTTTTGAAAAATCTTACGATGAGCATAGTGGGGTGTTGGGGAATCTACCTGGATGGAATCTGAACCCACGAGGACATGGTAGTGAGAAGGCAGGGTGTGAGCAATCTCTTGGTACCAGTCTGAGGAGCACAGACTCTGCCCTCACTGGAGGGGAGTTTGAATAAAAGGTTGAGGTAAACAGAATGGGCCATCCTGCCAAGTTTGCATGTTGGAACCTAATCCTGGGTGATGGAATTTGGAGCTAGGCCTTTGGAAGGTGAGTAAGTGGTGAGGGTGGAGACTTTGTGAATGGAATCTTATGGAACAAGCCCCAGGGAGCTCCCGCCACCCTGCCTACTGCAGGAGGACACAGTGAGAGGACCTCCATCTGCGAACCAGGAGGCAAGTATCACCAAATCTGCCAGCAGCATCAAGAATCTGGGAAAGAGAGTTCAGTTGTTTGTAAGCCACCCTGTTTCATATGGCAGCTTTCTCGGCTAAGCTAAAGAAGGATTGGCGGGAGTGGGTATGGGTGGGGGTGGGTATGGGGGATGGGGACTCTGTCCTGGCAGGAACAGAGATGCAGTGTTCAAGCCACTAAGGCCTCCCAGGAGAAGCAGGAGAGAGCTCTGGGTTGGGATGTGGGATGATATATTCAAGGGAATTGCAGGTCTGACACACAGTAGGTACTCAGCAAGCTCTTTCTGGTTAGCCCATTTGTAAACCACTCAGTGGGGGAGATTATTGAGGTCTCTGTATTATTCTCCCCACCCCACCCCCTGCCATCAAGCACCCTCCTTACTTCCGAAAGGCCCGCTGCCTGGAAGAATTTTCCACCAGGAACTCCTTGGATCTGTTCTTCCTGCCCTCCAAGATGAGCCAGACATTCTCTCTGGTTTCGCCCCCGTTGCCAGTTTCTATGACAATCTCGTAGGCTGCAGGGAGGAGGCGGGAGAGGGTCAGCAGCAGGAAGCAGCTGCTTGCCAGCAGCCAGTCCTTCCCCCTCGGGGAATCTTCTCTGGCCTTAGGCCACAGTCAAGGTGTAGGAGGCAGGTTAGCCTTGCTGACACCTAGGCACTGTAATCAGAACCAGAGACTCCTGGCCTGCAGTGGGTAATCTCTTTGTTGGCAGATATGGGAATGGCAGCCAGGGGGAAGAAAGCAGGTTAGGAGGGGCTCTCAAGAGATGTTGGGGTCTGGTTCTCATAGCCAATGAGCCACTAAACTAAAATGTAAACCACATCCCCAGAAGCTGAGGGAAAAGAGGCAGGCCTGGCTAAGGAAGGACCCTGCAAAGACCCAGCAGGCTAAGGGCCCAGAGAGCACACAGCCCCATTTCCCTCAGCCTCACAGTAGCCCCTGCCTTGCTGTCCCCGACGTGACTGCACACCCCTCTCCACCAACCTCCATAGAAGGGATGCCAAGGATCAGGAGGACCAGGCGGGGGACTAGAATTCGCTTTCTCGCTCCAGGCATCGAGCTCAACCCTGACCATCCGTAAGACCGAACACAACAGCATGGTAACCAAGGGCCCCTGGAGCGAGGGTGCCGCTGGGTTAGGGGAAGAGCTGCTTTCATGCCTTCTGCTATCTCAGCTCCTTGTGCTCGCTCTCTTCCTGTCTCTAGCCTCTGATCTCCAAGCTCCTACTTAGAGTGAGCTCCTCCATGCACCCTCTCTCCGCCTGAACGTGTCTGCTTCTTCCTCACCTCTCCCGCATTTTTCCATTTCACCTTTTCGGGCGGTCTATGCCAGTGCCCTAATTAAAGTGGTAGCCTGGTCCCCACCACTCCCGGTCTGCCTTGCCTCACTGTCATTTCCTCTTATTCCTACCATCTTTAAGCACCACACGCCATTTCATTTATTCATCGTGGTTTATTGTACCACCTCCCCCTTCCCAAAGGCATGCATGTCCGTTCACAAATTTCAAACTGCCAAGGACAGTGCCGGGCACACGGCGGGCCCTCAGTCAATATACTTTAAATTTTTATTTATCTTTATTTCGTGGTCATGGTGTTTTGTTCGCATGCATGTCTGTGTACGATGTGCATGCAGTGCCTGAGGATGCCTGAAAAGGGTGCTGGACCCTTACAGATGGTTGTGAGCCACCATGCGGGTGCTGGGAACTGAACTTGCCTTCTGCAAGAGCAGCAAGCGCTCTTAATGGCTGAGCCATCTCTTCAAGACCCTCCTCCCCACCCCACATCCTACACCCCACACCCTGCTGTGTGGGTAAATATTTAGTAGAGGAAGGAAAGAATTGCTGAGTGGGCCAAACCCAGGGAGTCTCCTGAGGATGGGAGCACTTGAGCATGGCCTTGGAGGACAGCTGTGAAGGAAGAAGTAAAGGAGAGGACGGAAGGGTGTTCCCAGGCAGAGGGAACATGAGCAAAGGCATGGCATGTGATCCAGACCAGGGATGGTGCCAACATACAGGAGTCCACAGCAAACGCTTGTCTGAGATGACCCTTATACAGACAGAGTAAACGGATGGGCAGTCTTGAGACAAGGATGACAGAAACACATGACAGCCATAGAAAAATGCAGGGGAGGGCAGTGTGCTTCTGGTTGGCATCCAAATTTTATTGCCTCCTTCCCAGGGAGCTCCCTACCGCATGCTCCCTGGACAGAGCCATGCTCCGCATGGGCAGAGGGTCTCTCCCTGGACATGCCCTGTCCTCCTTCTCTGAGGTCAGTCAGCAGTAAGAGTTCAGGCCGGCACTGCTAGCAGCCAGCTTCCTGGGGTTCGGGGAAACTTGCACTAACATTCTGGAGGAAATCAAGCTGAGAAGAGAGAGTCACCCTGACACCAGTGGCACCTCTGGGGACAGCAGAGTTGGAGCCAGAGCCACCTCAGGTTTCCAAGCTCTGGGAGCAAACACATTTCCTGAATTCAGCAAAGATACGGTTTTTAGGCATGTGCCTTGCAGAGTCCTTAACCACTCCCGGAAGCTTCCGTTGGGCCTATCAGAGAATGGAGGCTTCAAGAACACAAACGTATGGTGGATTCCACCACCTGGCGGAGCAGTGAGTGTTCCATCCCCAGAGACTGGCCAGCAGAGGAACGTGCTGGAGCTGGGAGCTGGAAACAGTGCAGACGAACGGACAAAGCAAACCTAAAGGGTGTTGAGAGTAGCAGGTAGGAAAACAAGAGGCTGGAAGGCAAAGGCACCCTTTGGCTCAAGGGCGTTCCAGCAGGAGAGACGTGTGTCCTCCTAAGTGTGCGTGTGCACATTCGCACACATGAGCATGCAATTTTGCTGTTTAAGCCAGACCCTGGAAAAACCGCAATGCGGTGCTTGAAGCCTTGACATTGGGATTATACAATTAGAGTGTCGGCAGCTCTTGGCTCTGGGTGTATGCTGGAGTCGCCTGCAGAGGTGAATGCTCAGAGATGGCTGGAGCAGTTTCAGAGAATTGGAGATGAAGCCTGAAAACAGGATGCTGGCTGATATGATGATAGATCAGCAGCACCAGCCAAGCCCCATAGGGAGACAGCATTCTAGAGCCATGCAGTGCGCCTTGCAAAACCTTTCCTTAATTTTTGACACAGAGGTGTAAATTGCATCCTGGCTTCTCTTTAGGGTCGATGTGGGGTGTCCAGGGCTCAATGAGAATGAGGTATAGCATTCCTTCACAGGCGAGGAGGCTTTGTTCAAGACCAAGGGGCTGTTTAGACTCATAGACTGAGTGCCCAAAATGACCGCAGGGTCACCAGCAGGAAAACTCTGGGAGGGAATGGTAATGTCCTCTGAAGTCAGAGTGAGGCATGGCACTTCAGACTGCTCAATGTGGATTTGTCTCAGCCTTAAATAAAGGCAGATGAGAGCTGGGACCAAGTTCAGTGAGTGAGACCTCCAGGACCAGCTGGCACCGGGAACCAGGGTGTGGCTACCTGTCTGTCCCCATGTGAGCGGCGCAGGTGTCTCCATGGTACTTCCTGCACACTCACTACAGTGACAGGTGGGGCCAGGCCCTCTCCTGGCTCCCTGCTTCTGCGCTCCTATTTTTCGCATCCGCAGAACTCACTCCACCCCCATCAGCCCAAATCCTGCAAGTAATGGCAGCTATTTGGCTGTTCGGAAATCTGAGAGGGAGAGTTGGCAACGGAGACGGGCTTCGCAGAGTATTCCTCTTCTAAACACCAATGGTCTGAACAGTCCCCATTGCTCATCCCGACGTTGTGTGAGGAGCATAAGCTCCCCTCTCTGAGTGTCTCACAAGGCTCTGTGTAAAGAGAGCGCCGCTTCCATCCACCCAGCATCCATTCACCGAGCCCCAAGGTCCACAGTACTGCAGAGGGTGACAAACATGAGGGACACTACCCTGGATCTGTGTGGGTCACAAAGCAAGGTATATCACCCACAGCATCCAAAACAAAACTGGGCACCCACTAACCCTTAGAAAGTACAATTACAGAAGTAGAGAACGCATCCTCTAAACAGGTAAATTCTCTGCCTTATGGAAACTCAGCAAAGGGGAGCTCTGTTTCCCTCTGAGAGAGTGTTTATCAATGTTCACACAATCTCCATTGCTTCTCAAGACAGCTAGGTCAACCATGGAGCAGTGTGGATAGCCTGGCAGAGATGGTAGTGTCCTGCGTATAGTGGTCATGCCAAGAGATGCCCAGCCGGGGCACGGTTCTCAGGTTCCCTTGCATCTGGCAGAGCCATGAGACTAGTTCTTCCAAACAAAACACAGGTTAGCATGCCAAGACCACAGGGAGAGGGCCTTTGAGTTTTCTTCTTGTGAGAAATGTGGAAGCCACATCTTAGAAACAGCAAAGGCACAGGTGGAAAGAGCTGAGGCCCCTACATCACACCATGGAAGACAGCTCGCCCGACTCCCACATTGGAGTGAGAAGTGAGAAGCGGAAGTGAGAAGAAGCTCTGCTGTGCAGAGGCTGAGATGTTGGGGGGCTGCCTTAATGGGGGGGGCTGCCTTAATAACTGGCTAAAAAGTCCCTTCTTCAACCGGGATCTGCCTCTGGTGAGTTTTCCTCTCATCACCAGGCCCAGACGCTGTCCTGGGTATTAAAGAAACGTCTTCTAAAGCTTTGATGGCTGTTCACCTCAGGGACTGATTCTTTCTCTTCATCTTCCATGTGAGGGGTGGCTGGTGGGGACCCTGGCTCTCTCTGACTTCTGCTTCTAGAAACTCCAAGGTGGCAGTCATAATCACACGCATCAGTCTGAATAATTCACGATGTAAAAATAGCCTGAGAGAGTGTCATAGCTGCCCTGCCTGGCCCTTGGGTCAGCTACAGCCTGTCTTCAGTGGGTTTCCCTTCATTAGTACCTGTGATTCAGGGCCACGAGTGTCTTAGCAGCTCTAATAATCCACTTTTAGGAGTTTATGGAGGAATTGCCCTGCAGACACATGGACCCATCTCATTCGCATTCCATTCCCTATCCGCGCTCACCGCCTCCCATTTGAGCCAACCCTTCCTCAACTAGAAGAGTCAGCCCTGAGGTCGCAGTGGGCTGGGCCCACACAGTCTCACCACGTACTGGTCTCTTCCAGCTCCTCACGGATCTCATTGTTGGCGCAGGCAAAGTCGCGGACAGTTTGTCTGTCGCCCTCACTCTTGGACAGCCAGCAGTCACACTGGAAGCGGAAAGTCTCATCACGGGAGTTGTCCTTCACATCAACATAGCTCAGGTGCCAGCCAGGAAATATTCCTGCGGAAGAAAGCACTGGGAGTGGGAAGTGCCCCCTCTCCCTGACAAGACCTCCCTTCCTCCATCCATAGCTGCGTGACCCTGGACAAGCTCCTTGTCCTCTCTGTGGTCTGGGATCCTTGTTGATGAAGTGACCAACTAGTTGGATTAGGTGGTTTTAAGTACTCCTCCAACCTGAGGAACACAGGGGTCTTTGCAAAATGCTTAGAGGATTTATGCACCACATTTCGGTGGTGGCCTCCAAGAAACTGCAATACCTTCCTCCTGCAAACTTCTTCCACTGAGAATCTGTCCATCATGGACATTTCACCAAGGGACAAGGCTTATTGCTTCCATCTGATTCATGGTGGAGGTATTCTAGACCTTTCTGGAGCCCCTTAACTAAAGGATGGATTCTGTTGCTTCCTGATCTGTGTTCTCCAAGCTCCCGTCAATGACCCTCCTGCATCAGTTCCGGTATTAGCTCCACCAGCAACCCTTCCCTGACGCTCCTCCATCACTCTAGAGGCTACATCAAGAGTCCCCCATGCTCCGTGGTACCATGCACCTATCTTGGGTACACACGGTCAGATTCGTCTTGCTTTTACTTACATGTGTCTCTTCCCTGTGACCAGGGATGCACGTGTACAGACCGAGTCTCGATAGGGTTTTTAGTGCTCAGTCTAAACGGGCAGATCACTAGCTGCCCAATGAATGCCGAGTGAATAAATACGGTTTGCGCTGGGGGTTCTTGGCTGACCTGTTCAGCAGTCACTGAAGGCTTCAGAAGCTGCCATTTTCAGGGATGTGTTCCTGAATTTGACACATCTTGGGCTGATCATGAGCACAGAGCTGCTCTGTTGTAACTGGCAGGGCTGTTCTCAGAAGTGTCCCCACCACAGCAGAGCTGGCAGTGTGGGCCAATGTGGGTTTGCTTTGACAGCTCTGTGTGACTTTACCACTGTTTCCATCGTTCTCTAACTCAAGCTCACTGAGAGCGTGGAGCATCACAGGTCCCACAGAGAGAGCAACCGCAGGGCTTTGGCAGGCTATGCGACAGTGTTTGCTACTCACAACTGATCCACAAGGAATCCCACAAGCAGCACACAGCTGGGTTCTACTCCCACACCCCTGACTCTCAGGCCACCTAGAGCTTTGAGGCAGTTCCACTGTTACAAAGAAACCTCTCTCTCAGATCAGATACCATCCAAAGCAACATCTCTAGAGATCCTGCTTCTGTTCCCAAGAGTATATGAAATAATTATAGATTTCAGGATGTGGATGTTACATTCATGGGTGGGATGCATATGCTGGCATTATTCAAAGTTTCAAAAATATCGTTTGAGAATCTCATATATAAGCATACAGTGTTTGGATCAAATCGGTCCCATCCCCCCCCATTGCAATTGTTCTCATGTCCCATCTCTGGAGTCCTCACCACATTTCCCTCCCACTTCATATATTCTTTCAGAAACACGCTGAAAAAAAAGCGCTGCCACTATGCAAATGGGTGTGGGCGACGCACTGGAACATGGGTAACCTGATCAGGGGCTGAATCTGAAGCTGGCTCTCTTTCCCCTAGCACCCACCAATTGCTAGTAGCTCTGGAGCTGGGAATTTGTAAGCCCCTCCCCATGCATGCTGGGATTTAGGCTGACTTGCTCTTGTGCTGGTCCTCTGTGTAAAGGCACGGCCCCTGTGAGTTCATGTGTGCAACACCCCAGCCATGTTCATAAGATATTATTTTACAGAAGCCATCTTCTACCCCTGACTCTTACAATCTTCCTTCTCCATCTTCTGTGACAACCCCTGTGCCTCGGAAGTTAGGGTGTGTGGCACAGATGTCACATTAAAGCTTGAGGACTCCACGTATTCTCTGTGCTTTGACTGGTTATTAGTGTCTGTATTAATCACATGTATTATGAAAAGACACTTCTCTGATGAAGGTTAAGTGATGTACTAATCTATTTGCATAAAGGGGGAGGGGGCAGTTTAATACCAAGTCCATTAAGCTGGATTCTCCCCTAGGGCCTATAGTGCCCAGCCATGGGTTCTTGGCCCAGCTCACAGTATCAGATATCAGTTCTGTCTTGTGGAATAGGTCTTTAATCATAAAGCAGTTGGTTATCCTCAAAACACTTGTGCCAATATTGTAGCAATGGGCAGAGCATGCCAGGCTGGTCACTGTTGTATCTTTCAGTACCATAGCTGGGTAAGACTGCTGTTGGCTTTTCTCTCCCAACATAGCACCTCTGGCACTATGGAAGCTAACCAGCAGGGAGGAAGGCTCCAGGTTAGAACCATACTGATTTCTCTGGGCCTTCTATGACTCAAGTATATGGTGTCTTCAAAGTAAAATCATAGCATCAAATTAGCAATGGCAATAATTTGCATTGTATTGTGGGTTTATGGAACCCCCAGCCCACACTCGGCACTTGGCTTTGTGCTTCATAGCCTATGACATCTGGAGAGGCATTACTCCCCGGCACAAGGTAGCTCCATTTAGACTCCCTTTATAAGTTGTGCATCTATTTTAAGAAGCTCCTACAGCTGTAGGTTTCATATGGCTTTTACAAAGGTCTTTGGTGTTGTTTGTGTCTCACTGTATTTCTTGTTTTTTGTGAAATCAGATCTTCACTGAAGAAGGAAGCAGAGAGGGCTCATAGAAGTGAGGTGTAAAACACTGTCGCATTAGGCAGCTGTGAGGTGAGTTAGCTTATTTGTGAACTCTCTTTGTGCTTGATAAATCTTTCTTGCTTTTCTACAAACTAGAGTCCATACCACCTGTAGGTTTATGACTTGGCTGCATGTTGGAGGTGGTTCCTGGTAGCCATGAAGCTGATCACAGAACTTACAAGCCTCCATGCCTGTAACACTGAAATGAAGGAATGTGACGGTCAGAGCCCTTCTCTTGAGGCATCTCAGTAGAACACAGAAGGGAGGCAGAGAAGACACATTGCTGGCTGTGTTGAAAGAGATTCACATGGAAGAGAAGCTCTAGGCTTTCCCTCACCCTTTGCTCGGCCATGAGTAGTATGTGTGGGAGGTCGTCTCAGCCACACTCAGTTTCCCTTTGCTGTTAGAACTCAGCATTGCCACTCTTTCCCCTAAACCAAGACTAATCCCCAACTCCCTTACATAAAAGAAGCCTCCTTGTATTCTCTGTTGTTTTTCTTGCCCTGCTTTGGAAATGTTGAGTGTGACGGACAGAGTCTAATGCCCAACTGATGGCCAACCCTAGGTACCTGGTGAACCAATAGGGAATTGCTTGAAACTAGCTGTTGGAGAACTCACTTCTTGCCGAGACCCTCTTTCGATGTCCCCATGCTTTTACACACACAGAGGAAAGGCTCTGCACAGGTCACAGTGGAATGCACGTGTGTGCCCCTTTATTAATCAGAGCTGCAGCAATCCCAAAATGCTGACCTTGTCCTTCCTGCTGGATAGCTACTGAATTCCCCAAATTTCTCTCTTCTGCATAGTGCTCTTAACAACACCCCAAACACCACAATGATATGTCAAAGTCATGGATCAGACTTTGCCGCGTCACCTCATAAACCCTCCAGAGGCTTTCTCATCAGTCCGAAAAAAAGTCCCAGGCTTCTCCCCAAGAACTGCATCCCTTTCCACGCCTCTACTCTGCCACCTGTATTGCACTTCTGATACCTTGACTAACAGAATCTTGCTTACCCACTGTCCAAAGGGATGGTCTCCAGCCTCTGGGTGCCAATACTGCCTAATCACTGAGGTCTCTGGGAAAGGGCTCTGTTTGCAGGATTTCCTGGGGCTTCAACACTCACTCTGTCTCCATGTGCTCACTCCTAGCTAATCTGAAGCCACTTTGTTTCCTCATCATCCTCTATCGTATTGCTTGTCTCTGCCAATGAGGTCGCAAGCCTCTGAGATGAGGAGGCTGGCCTGAACTACGTGTGCTATCCGGTAAAGCTTATTACACACGGAGTCCACACCAAGTCTGAACAGGAGAGAACAGGAAGACAGCAATGGCGGCAGTTCTAGGAGAGGAATGTACAGCCTTACATAGCAGGAACGGTCTGTCCTAGTACTATTGATTATTACACCCCAAATGTCCTAAAATTCACTTTGAGTAGAAGGTCTAGCAACTCCGAGCCACTGCAGGGTCCCTATGTCCCAGATAGGAGGTGACAGGCTGAATGAGAGTGAGGCTGGTAACACTTTGGACTTCCACATGCTCCTTACTGCCCATGAGTCTAGCGACTTTCTGTGTCTGGTGGGATGGAGGGCTCCATGCTTCCTTTAGCAGGTTTCGATCAGCCCTTATGAGACAGATTCATTAGGCATGCATTTGGCATCTCCTCTCCTCATTATGGCGCCAAGTTATTCCTCTATGGTCAGTACCTGCCTGTTCTCTGCACAACACAGCTCTAACGGCCTCCGAGCCTCTCTGCTGTCCCCATGACCCCTTGTCCACTGTATTAGCTACTCTCATTATCACCATGACCCAAATATCTGGCTGGAACAACTTGAGGAAGGGTGGGTTCATTTGGGTTCACAGTTTCAGAGGATAGGGTTCTCCCAACAGGGAAGGCAGGGTGGGGTTTACACAGCAAGAAAGAATGGTGAAGACTCTTACATGATGGCAGACTCAGAACAAATGACAGCCGTCCCTACTTTCTCCAGCCAGGTCCAGTTTCCTAAAGGCTCCACAGCCTTCAAAATGGTGCTGCTAACTGGAGACTGTTTGAAATATAAATATAAATAATATGGATGTTTCCAGTTCAAACTGTATCATGTTTGTTCTCTTGGCCATGAGCACTGATATCCAGAGAAATCTTTGCTGCTGGAGTTGTAACTATGCCTTAATTCTGTTAAGATTATTTTTATATTCATGTCTGACTTCTCTAACTTCAAGGGTTGGGAATTGTGTCTTATGACCTCTTAATCGTATTACTTAACATTCCACGATCATAGAAGCGATAAATTATTTTCACTTTCAAAAAGCCAACTGTCAGTATTTTTATCCAGTGCAAACCATTGAGATT